AAAAAAAATGAAAGTAATTCTGAAAAAAATCTTTGTTAGTCAATATTGATTAACAATTTCTAGTAGCATTTGCTAATATTTACAGTGCCTTCAAAGCAATGACAGCTATGATTTAATTTGCTCTACAAAAAACAAAGAAAAAATAAATTTCAAAGTAACTAAATTTAGTTTAATAATGAGATTATGTATTTAGCATGCTATGTTTTGCCTTAAATGGAATTTCTGATAAGCATTCAAATGTAAGAGATTGACAGTAGAATGTTTTGAGTTTTCTTCTGTAAAGTGTTGTATTTTGTGTGATTACCTGGTTCACAGTCTCTACATATTCTGTGTATTAGTTGTCTTTTGGCAGGAACTTCTTGGCAAGTCAGAGATGATTTTGATGTTATTGTTTGGTGTTGCTTAAAAGAATATTTATTACAATTGATTCTAAAAGTTACAGTCAGAAGCTTTTAATGTTTTTGTTTTTTTTTTATCTTCCATTATCATCATTATAGATATCTTGTTGTTATGAGGATGGGATCCTGGTAATGGATAGCTTCAGGAGGATGGATGAATTTAACTCCTGCATCCCAACACATCACTTTGGCTTTTACCTGGTCAGAGAAACCTTATATGATCAATTGGCTGGTTGCACCAAGACCTGATTCATCTTACAAACTCTGGAAGTGCTGAATCAGAAGGTGCTGGTTGTGGGTCAATCATGCTAAGAGACAATTGTTCCACACTACCTGAGCAAGTAGTTAACTTGGGAACTAAGACTTAAGAGGTTGAACAATTATTGACTCATTATAATGTGAGTATATTGACTGTATAGTCTTGATCAGCCAAGGCAAATGGATTTCCTCCTTGGCATTTCCCCTAGTAGGACTTCATGGTGGGTGGGGAGTATAGTCAATGAAGCATAATTTCATTATATGGAAGCAGAAAGAAAGACCCAAGCTACACAGTCATATTTTGATTCAGAAGAGCCTGAGGTACCCTTTTCTAGATTTATAATACTTGAATCTGGAAAGGAGGTTCCACTAAGCAAATTATCACCTTTCCTGATTCAGAAGATCATATCCTTGATGGTTAATCTGAAATCAGTAAAAACTTAAATAAATGGAACCATCCTGATAGAAATATCAAATAAAAAAAAAAAAAAAATGTGAGCACAATATTAAAGACAAAAAATTCCATAATATCTCTATAAAAGCATACCCACATGAAAGATTGAACTCCTCTTTGGTTTATAGTGGAGATCTGTCGCTTTGTACCATAGAAGAGGAGTTAAAAAAAAAACAATGTGATTGACATCGAAAGGATAACAATTAAAAAAAAAAAAGAAAATCAAATAATTAATACTAACACATATATTACCTTTCAATACTCTTGACACCACCATCTGAAATTAAAATTGGATATTTAATAGCTAAAGTAGAAAAATATATTCCAAATCCAAGATGCCATAAATGTCAAAAATATGGAAATCTAAAGATGTATTGTACAAGTGTATTCAGTTTCGTTGGGCTTGAACTAAAATTCCTGTTCAGAAATTGATGTCACAGATTACTTCGACAATGAAGAAAACAAATTGCTTGATTCTCACTTGATGTCACTAAACTTATTGCGATCAATAAATTATACACTTGGATCAGCTTTTTAAGGGTACTCAAATGTCTTCGGATCAGCATCCCACTTACCACCTTAGTTCATATTCCAGCTTTGCCAGTGAGCATGTTTGATACCTACCACATGGTGGTGCACACATGCGGTGTCTGTGAACAGGTGCAGCTCCATTGCACCCCACTCTAGTGCTAAATTGGTGCCCATCGGGATAGCATCCAATTCTGATAAATTGATATGTTGTGCATCCTTCACAGGCCACGGCCAACATGCATCCTCTCCAATACTTCCGTCAAACTACGACAAAACCTCTGTGGTGAAGGAACTTGCATTTGACCCACATCTCATAAGTGTGTTCGCTTGTGCATGGTCATTCTGGCATATTCTTGCCACTGTCTCCTCAATCATGTTCTTAAGGGGAGTGTCTGTGGTCCCCGTCAGACGTGATTGATACTGTTCTGCATTTATCAAATGATGCAACAATATGAAACCAACCACACACAGGGACATGACCCACTAGTTTTCCATGTCATATGAAGACGTTGCATTGTGTCAGGACCTCAGGAACTGATGGAATGTCATTTTCATGTTTCCACTTCATTATGGCTGGTTCAACCTGAAACCCATTCGTGTCAAGCAATATCTTCACTTCTTGAAAATTACACTTTGAAAGGGCCAAAGTGACTTGTAGATATGCACTTGTAGATAGGCCTGCTGTAGGTCAAGGATAGCGACAACAGGTTCATTTTTATGCCACTCCCTCAGTTTCTGTGTGCACGTGTCAGCATTGGCCGTGTGTGCATCTAAACACTCATTCAGTTCTTGATAGTCTAATATTGGCTGCACTTTATTTTTGTTTTTCTGCATCACTGCCATCAACGGGATTAAACCTTTTGTAGGACCAAGTTCCTTTTCAGGATAAGGCAGCAACCAACCATTATTAAACCAGGCCTGCAGCTATGGTTGTATTCTTCCATGACACCTTTTGGTATTGGGTACTCGTGCATCGTGTTTCACAAATTCTTTTTAATGGCAGCACCTCAAGTCATCCCATGCTTGTGAAACTGCATATTGCCACACTCTGTTATTTGGAGTCCACCCAGCTTTTTAATGACGTCAAATCCAAGCAATAGGTCAAAACCCAATAGCTCACCATCCACTACCAAGACTTTGATGTTGAGTAGGGTTATATTATGTCAGGCAACTCTACTGCATTTGAGGGTGTTACCATTTATAGTGAGTATGTCCACCTTTGTCTCTCACCAGGATTGATAGGCTAACTTGTGAGTTTCTGTGAGCAGCCCGTGTCCACCAGTGACACCATCCTGCTAGCTTCTTTAAATCGGCTAGAAACACATCGATAGACTCATCCAGGTGCAGTTGGCATTCCACAAACTTCTTTTAAGCTAAGAAACGATTTTGTGCAAAAGGTAATCCATGGGGCTTGTTTTATTTGTTCAACATCCACTTTTTGCAGATGATTTGAATCAAATGGAAATGTCTGTATTAAATATTTAGGCTGTTATCTATCAAAGTTCATGCTACTAGGCTTAAGTGATATCGAATAATAAATTATGCTAATTGTATGTATTATTTTGTATTGAACGTAAAGATAAGCTTCCTAGGGTATATTATATTTGCCTATGCATGCAACAATTTAGGGAATTTGATACATGTAAACAGTTTTGTATGCCCTTCTGGTGGGGGTGGTCTCCTCTCATCTTCTTTTGGCTGGTGATTGCTAATTGTTTTGATTTCGTAATAAAAGACTTCAAACACAGAAGATAAAATAAATATTAAAAATTATCAGATATATAGCCATATACATGTGGCAGGACGAAAGGCCTGTGGAGGAACTTCAATCCTCATTAGAAACAACATCCCCCTCCCCAGAGTCAAATTAATGTAACTACAAACTTTCAGGCAATCGCAGTTAGATCCAGCCTATACCACCAAAACATCCCATAGGCAAAGATGAGCTACAATGCTTGATCAACCAATTACCCAATTCTTTTATTAGGTGACTTTAATTGCCACAACACTTCATGGGGAAATAAAGTCACAGACCTCAAGGGAAAAACCGTGGAGAAACTTAGAAATGAAAATGACTTATGTCTACTAAATAAAGGAGCCTATACATATATAAACCCTTTCTCAGGCATCTCTACAAAAATTTAACAAAGAACCTACAACAGCTGACATAAACAATTACAAGTTATATAGAGCAATGGCTCATAGAGCAGCAAAAGAAGCCAAAAAAGAAAGTTGGCAAAAATATGTCAACAAGCTAATTCTTCCTCAAAAACAAAATCAGCATGGGAAATGGTGAGGAAAATGGCTGGGAAATACCAAGCTACACCAATTAAGCATCTTTACAAAAATAACAATATCATGACCAGCAAAAAGGACATAGCAGATACATTAGCTGAAACTATTTCAAAATAGTTCAAGTAAAAATGGAAAACAAAAATTCCTAGTCTTGAAACAAAATACAGAAAAATACAATTTTACATCTAACAATACAGAAAGCTGCAACAACCTATTGAGTTTAGCAGAATTGAAAGCATCCATAAAAAGATGCCATAATGCAGTAGTTGGACCTATGATTTTTTTTTATGATCTTTGAATCACTCTGGTTTAATAAGAAATAGAAAAATTATACAAGAATATAAAATGAATTGAGTGATAATGGAATAGTGGATTAGACTCATTATTGAATGCATTAACATTTTTAATCTGTGAGAGTTTGGAACTATGATTGTTAGAATTAGTCTTGTACTTTTGTTGTTTTTAATAACTTTATAACTGAGCATCATTATATTTAGGATAATATGAGTAAACTTCAAAATATCAATAAAATGATTTAAATTTTCTTAATTGTTAATCAGATATTTAATATAGAAATGTTATAATTTTCTGAGAAATCCAAGATGTTATAAAAAATTACTGAAAATATGAACACTTACATCCAACTAAGAGAAAAACTTTAAAATATTAATGAATCAAGTGAATAATTTAAAGTCTTTCTCATATGCTATTTCATGAATAATGAACCAGGAATTTTAAAAACGGTAAAATTATTTAAGTATTAGAGCAACATTGCTATTTTAATTATTTTTCGTAATGAAACAAACCACTGTTGCTATCAATGAAAAATAAGACTTCTAGTTTTCATGAGGCTACTTAGCATATAACCTCATTAGGTATGTGACCGTCAGAATAATATTCTAGTGTAGCAGGTCTTTGCTGCATTTGACAAAGAATTTCAGTTGGTTTAGTGTTTAAAGCATTCGTGTTTTAAATTCAGTAAAAGTAAGGGCTAGCTTTTGATGATTTTTTTTTCTTTCCTGCAAATCTAATGACTTTTTTTCTTTTTTTTCTTTTAAATTAAGCACGGTGTTGGAGTTTGCAGATCCTAATGTTGTTTTTACAAGTCGAGCAGCTGCCATCTTTTATGCTATGGGAAGATTTTGTGTAATGTTTTTTGCTTCTGCTGCTATAGGCACTGTTATTGGCTTATTAAGTGCAATAGTATCCTTTTTTTTCTTTAAGAAATTGTTTCTTTACAGAAAATAAAGATTTATTTTAAGGGTTTGTTTCAGTTGTTAAGGAACATTGCATTGAAAATATTTTTTATTTTTCCTTTAAAAATATCTCACAGTATGAAAAATATACTCAAAACACAGGTTTCAGTAAATTTCTGAATAACTCTTGAATACATAATCATGACAAGTATTTACTTTCATGATAATTTTAGTTTCTTTTTTATTGCAACTAAAAATTAAGATGAATGTAAGTACTTGTTCACAAAATATAATGGTTGACAATGCTTCATCAAATAAAAAGTAACAATAATACTCTTGGATTTATAAACACTTAATGATTACAGTGATTGTATTACTGACTGCAAAATAAATAACAGAAAATTTGGGAAATCAACATTTTACCTGTTTTCAATAGTTAGAAAGATTCTGTTTGGTCTGTAATTTCAGTGAATGAAGCATGATGAATCTTTCAATTATTAATCATTTGTATGTCTTTTCTCTATTGGCTTATTAGTATAGAAATCATCTTTTAATGTTTTTGTGTTCCAGTTTCAAACTTTTAGAAAGATATTGGGATTTAATTTGTGAAATTAAAGAAAGTTCAGGTGTCTTTATATTCCTTTATACTAACCAGCTATTAAAATCTATTGACTTGCGAAAAACACCCTCCTTAGAATTTGGTATGATGTTGGTTTTTTCCTATCTGCCATATGGCCTTGCTGAAGGAATTCATTTATCTGGTGAGTTTTATTTGCATTTTTTTAAAACTCTGTTTTAGATTATATATTTTTTCTTTGAACATGTTTACATTTTTTTTTTTTTTTTTTGTTAAGGAATCATGGCGATATTATTTTGTGGCATTGTAATGTCTCATTACACTCACTTGAACTTATCACCAGTCACACAAATAACTGTACAGCAAACCTTCCGAACTGTGGCTTTTATAGCAGGTAAGATAGTCTTTCAACTTGAAAAGTTGTATTCAATTTATTTGAATTTACATTTTGTAAATTTGTTGCTTAGAGCTGTTCTTAGAGAGATTGTAGTTGTATTAACTCTGAGACACAGATAAGATTTAATACTGTTTGTCTCTGAGGTGGCAACTTTTCTAGGTTTTTTTTGGGCAACAATAGCCAAGTCTTTAACAGGAATATGTGAATTCTAGACCAACATTAATGGTGCATGAAAACTATAAAAACCTGTAGGTGATTAAAAGTCGGCCAATAACTGCAAGCAATGGTAATCAGTCAGAAAAAGAGAAGACTAAATCCAATCCAGTTCCAATTTCACACTAATACTGATCTTAATTCACTGTACTGCATTCTATGAAATTTCATAGTTGTCAAACAACGAGAGTGCCATTATTGACATCATAGTTCCTGGGCTTGTTTGAGTCAATTTTCCAACTATTTGTTGTGAATGATAGTTCCTATTTGAAGAAAGCATGAAGATATAGGTACAGCCTGTTTACCAAGGGTATTGTGCAAGCTGATAATGACTCTAATAATGTGAATTATTTTTTTTAATTTTTTTTTTTTATTGGAGTTTTCAAAGGTCATTACGTCCTTGACAAGTGCAATATATGTGAATCTTGTTGCAGATCATTTATTCTCATGAGGTTTCCTAGTGGTGATGCATTTCAGTAAAACAATGCCAATTTAGTGTTTCATATGAAAATGGTACTTTTGAGCTTGTCAGATTTAAACCCCATTGAGAATGTCTGTGTCCTGTTAGAGACCTCAGTAAATTTGCTACAGCTACACTCTAGATAAAAAAAAATCAGTTATAAACAGAATAACATCAGCACTTTATAGACTATGCTATAGTTGCTGATATTCAGGAAAAGAAAGGCACTAAGCTTTATTAGGTATTTAATTTTTTTGGCACTTCATTTTAAGAATTCAGGACACTGAAATGCTATCATTTAGCTCCTTTTAATGGGTTGACATTATATAATCTATGTAAGATCGATTAGTAGTTTGATACTTAAATGTTCTTGGCTTTATACACTCATTATCACCATCATATTTGTGAACATACATTACCATCATATTTGCAAACCTATGTTATTTCTTGATCAGGTGCTCCCATTACTGAAGATATGTAACATTTTTAAATAAAAAAAAAAAGTTCTTTATTATCAGGTCTTAACTTTTCATACAGAATTTAAAAACTGTTCAGTGTTTTCATATTTACTAAAATTTAGTATTTGAATTGATTAAAATTTTATATTTTAGTAAAATTGAAAAATAGCCAGTATTAGAATTTTCTAAGTTTTCAAAATGTTTCATATTCCTATAATTTTTATTTCCTTGTATTTTGTTTTTCATTGGAAATTTTAATTTTTATTTATTCTTTTTAGAAACCTGTGTATTTGCATACTTGGGAATGGCATTATTCAGTTTTCATCTAAATGTGAAACCATCTTTCGTCATTTGGAGCATTGTAAATATATTCTGCTTATTTTGCTTTTTTATATTTCATATTTGAGATTTTCTGTTGAAGTAACCTAATTTTTTAAATGTTTGTACTTGAATATCTTATTTAAAAATTAATATGTAATTGTTTTATTCTGAGTGTCTAAATTAGCATAATATTAATACATATTCATGTCCATTAATCTTAATAACTTCCCTATTCTGAATTACTTTCAAATGACATTTCTCTTGGCAAAGAGTGTGAGGGAATAAATATCTTTGTTACTGATCAAGTTTGTAGTTTTGTTTATGGAAAATAATTGACAGCATTCTAGTACAGAAATAATTAGTTTATAGCTTTACTCTTGGTCTGCATTTTTTATTTTAATTTTCTTTCTAGGCCCTTTGTCTAGGTGGAAGAGCCATCAATATTTTTCCATTAAGCTTCCTCGTTAATTTTTTCCGGGAACATAAGATAACAAGGAAAATGCAATTTATTATGTGGTTCAGTGGTAAGTATACTGTACTGTTGTAATAGTAAATTTTAATCATTTATTTTTCCTTGAAATTTTGATGTTAATTATAACAGCATCTTTAAATTTTTAATAAAACACTTTTAAATACAAAAATAAGAAATTTAAGTCTTTACATTTTCAGAAAAACTGATTTAGAATTACTAAAACACTATTTTATTCCTCTTTAAGTACTTGTTCTTTGTGATAAATTCACTTTAATTTCTCCAATATTATTTGATTTTGTATTTCATGTTTGAAAGTTTCTATATTTTTGATTGAATATTTTTTATCTACTTTCAACAAAAGTTATTGAATTAAATTTTTTTAAAAAAATGAGGACATTAAAACCTGAAATGTTTAATGAAATTTTATGATTTGAATCAAATGGAAATGTCTGTATTAAATATTTAGGCTGTTATCTATCAAAGTTCATGCTACTAGGCTTAAGTGATATTGAATAATAAATTATGCTAATTGTGTGTATTATTTTGTATTGAACGTAAAGATAAGCTTCCTAGGATATATTATATTTGCCTATGCATGCAACAATTTAGGGAATTTGATACATGTAAACAGTTTTGTATACCCTTCTGGTGGGGGTGGTCTCCTCTCATCTTCTTTTGGCTGGTGATTGCTAATTGTTTTGATTTCGCAATAAAAGACTTCAAACACAGAAGATAAAATAAATATTAAAAATTATCAGATATATAGCCATACTAGCAGTAGAGCCCGGCATTTCCCGGGGATATAACAGTAAGAGATAGATCAAGTATCGACCATCATAAAGACTGAAAAATAAAATTGACAAAGATTATTGTTTAAGGTTGACGGACACGCATGTCTTAATTAGTTTTTTTTTTTTTTTACGAATTGGTCAAACTCAAACAAAAACATTGTTTACAATCGTTATGAGTCTATCGATTGGTGAATAGAATTTTATTATAAACAATTGTCTTGTAAATGGAATTTTTAAAGCATTCTGAATGTAAATAAAGAAAAAAGTGTGCAAGACAATAAGAAATACTACCAAAAAAAAAAAAAAAGTGAATGTTTGTTTTATCGGCTGAAAAATGTAAGAAATCCGATCCCATATATAAAGGAACACACACACACACACACACACACACACACACACACAACCTGGGTTTTTTAACCTAAGTCACTCCACGGAGTCGCTAAAACATAGAGCATAGTCTGATGAAAAAGACGCTAAAGTTTATGAAAACAAAATTTTATCGTCAAAATGCTTATGTTTTTATGAAGAGGATAGACTAAATTTTTTATTAATTATTTTTTAAAATTTTTCCATCTTTTTAGAATATTCTAAATTTTGATTTAAAAAACCTTGTTTCTCTTTGTCGCAACAAGGGGTAAGTAAATAACAGATAATTTTTAGCGCATTTTTTTGTATTTACACACATTAATTTGGAAAATCTTGCAAAAATAAAAATAATTGTCAGATGTTAATGAAACTTTCAGAAACTATTCACAGATGATCGAAATTATTATAAATATGTTTTTTTTTTTATTAAAGTCATGGCAGAAATATTTTTTTTATATTTATTAAAACACCCATAACTAATTTTATGAAAAACTCTAGAAATTCGAGACCATCGGTTTTAGTGATTACAATAGTTAAAAGCACAAGGCTTTGAAGAATGCAAATCATGTTTTTTTTTTTTTTTTTTTTTTTTTTTTTTGGCCAACATACCTGAAAATCAGCTGTGAATTGTAACATACAAAACTCAATTAAACAAATATATTATTTAGTTTCAAATGCTTTTATTTGTTTTAATTTGTTTTTATGAATATGGACAATATTTTCTGGAAGCAAAAAATTTTTTCAATGAAAATTGAATTTTTAATACAATTATTTCTTATTTCTTTAATTTTAAAAAGATTTTTAAAAAATGTTTAAATTGAATTTTAAAAAATATTTTAACATTAGTTAAATGCAACATCAACCTTTCAAAATGTCCGTGTGAGATTGTCATTGTCTAGCGCTTTGAAAATTGTATAATTTGGACCAATCAGATTAGCCATGGTAATTAAGAAATGTAATTTTTGTGTTTATAGTCGGACAGTAATTATCAAGTACGGAAGACCAACCAGAATACAATTTAGTTGCATTATTTGAGTTCAGCATTGTTCTCCGCTGTTAAACCCTTTACTTTTGCGAAACACGTATGGAGAAGTTAATTTGAGTTTTCAATTTCAACTGAGAAGGGTACCTACAAGTAACAGTATCATCTTATGAAATTTAACTACTGCTAAACTTTAATTTATATGATCTTATTTTTATATTAATCTCAGTTATGACATTTTTTTTTTCTTAAAAAACAACTGTGTTTATCCCATTGAATGGAAATACGTTAGAACCACCAAAAGGTAATTTTAAGTAGTCCTGTGAAGTTTTTGTTGAAATTTTCAAAAAAAAATGTAGGAAATTCGATCCAACATATAAACAGACACACACACACACACACACACACACACACACACACACACAACTCGTTTTATAATAAGTAAGATACATGTGGCAGGACGAAAGGACTGTGGAGGAACTTCAATCCTCATTAGAAACAACATCCCCCTCCCCAGAGTCAAATTAATGTAACTACAAACTTTCAGGCAATTGCAGTTAGATCCAGCCTATACCACCAAAACATCCCATAGGCAAAGATGAGTTCCAATGCTTGATCAACCAATTACTCAATTCTTTTATTTTATTAGGAGACTTTAATTGCCACAACACTTCATGGGGAAATAAAGTCACAGACCTCAAGGGTAAAACCGTGGAGAAACTTAGAAATGAAAATGACTTATGCCTACTAAATAAAGGAGCCTATACATATATAAACCCTTTCTCAGAGAGCTATTCAGCCATTGATCTGACTATATGTCACCCAGTAGTATATTGGGACATGTCTTGGGGTGTAAAAGATGACATATATGGAAGCAACCATTTCCCGATCCTTCTGGAGAGCATCAAACCAAGTAGTGAAAATATATCTTACTGGAAAATGAACAAAGCAAATTGGGACAAATTAAAAGGACTTTGTAAAGCATTCTGTTGAATCTATATCACTTTTCCATGTTAAATTTTCTTTACTAATCACTGCAGCAAAGAAATGTATACCCCAAAATTCAACACCAAGTAAACAAAACAGACCATGGTTCAATAGCAAATGCTTGCAAGCCATAAGATTATGAAAGGCATCTCTACAAAAATTTAACAAAGAACCTACAACAGCAAACATAAACAATTACAAGTTATATAGAGCAATGGCTCATAGAGCAGCAAAAGAAGCCAAAAAAAATGTTGGCAAAAATATGTCAACAAGCTAATTCTTCCTCAAAAACAAAATCAGTATGGGAAATGGTGAGGAAAATGGCTACACCAATTAAGCATCTTTACAAAAATAACAATATCATGACCAGCAAAAAGGACATAGCAAATAGCTGAAACTATTTAAAAAAAATTCTTCAAGTAAAAATGGAAAACAAAAATTTATAGTCCTGAAACAAAACTGTTGTAACCTAGAAAACGTTACTGAATAAGAATAATCAAAACGAACGTTGGAAATGGAACAGTAATCTTTATAATGTTAACAACATACAAGATTCGCCAGCAGTGTGTAGTAAGTTATCCACTGTTGGTGCTGAACTAGTGGTGAATATATTTATTGCACAAATGTACAAAGGCTGGTCTTTGTGTATCTTAAAATTAAACTGAGCTACCCTACAAACACTGACCCTGATATGCTACAATAACCCTTGCACCAACACACCACATTCTTACATACCATTCTTACAATACTCTATATACCACCACAATACTGCAGAAACTCTATATAATCCTAACTAGACCCCATATGTGCAATTTATGTCTGTGGGTGGTAAATGAGAAAAGAGTGGGAAAATGAAATTTAACCCAAAAATAGAAAATAAGCTGGTCGAAACCAAGGAGGGTAAGCAAAGAAATCAAAGACTGAAAAAAAAAAAGTAAACTGATAAAGTATAAAGAAAGAACAAAATAGGATTTAGATTAAATACACTAGTTCAAATAAGTAGTTAATAACGAAAGTCAAAAAAAAAAAGACTTTACTAAAAGGAAATAAAATTCAAGATGGCGGTCAAAAGGCTGTCGAGAAAACTGAAAAACCAAGTTTGACAAGAAAGAAAAATAAAATAAAAGTTTAAAAATCAAAAAATGAACTTTTTTCCACACATCAAGTCAAAATTAAAATGAACAATAAATCAAAATGTAAAAGAAAAATAAAAAATACAGAAGTCTGGTTTGGCTTTAGTTAAATAAAAATAAAGGTTTGCAGTCAAAGCCGACAGCAAACAATGAAAAATAAAACTGAAAGGAAAATTAAAAAAATAAATCAAACAGGAATAAAAAGAATGAAGAATAAATAAATTAACTTATAAAAACCTAAGACTTAGTAGGAATAGATGTAAAAATGAAAATAAGATGGGGGAAATGTAAAAAACTGAAAAAGAAAAAATCAAAACTTTCTTTTTCAAAAATCGAAAATTCAAAAATATTAACAATAAATGAAAAGCAAATGAAATAAAGCAAAAAAACAGAAAGTACAGTTGTCTGGTAAGACTTTCTGACCACGATACTTTTTGAGGACTCCTCAATATTTTTAAACATCTCTGCATTTTTGCCAGTATTTGATTATTTATCTGGTGGTTTGTTTTTTTTTTTTTTTTTTTTTTTTTTTTTTTTTTAAGTTCCAAATAGATTTTTTTCTCATGGTCTTTCTGGCACCCATTTTTTTCTTTTAAAAGTCTTTTCTTTTTTTTTCTTTTTAAACAAAATAAATTAATACTAAAAGGAAAAGGTAAGATAAATCACAATTTCCTTCAGTCATAAGGAAACAAAAACAAACTTAACAAGATAAAACAGTAAGATGTACAGAAAGATTGCTTACAAAATACTAACGTATGACAGATGAGAAAAAAAATTAAACTTTTAAAAAAGGAAACAAAAGATGAAAAATATACAATAAAGACAAAGATAAAAACTGATAACAATCACAAATAAAATGAAAAAAACAGGAATACACACTGTTACAAATGCGAAGACTCAAAAAGAAAAAATTACAGAAATTAAGACAGCTGGAGGTGGGGATAATAAATAAATAGTTGATACAATATGATTGGGTATAATAAAAAATTTTTATGAAACATAAGAATGTCTCAGCTTTAAATGGTCCATGAAGAGTTAAATCGTTAAAAAAGAAACAAAAAAAAAACCCCAAACAAACCAAGATTCTTTCCTGATGGTTTCTTTTAGCCATTAATTGTTGCCATCCCACTAGCTGTTGCCTCTTTAGTTTAGGTAACTTTCACCCTCTACTGATTGGACTTTATGCCTACTTCTGCCAAGGCAGTCCATCAACATAGTGGTCTGGCACATTTGTAGCAAGGTTGCACTATGCAGATTTGTGTATTTATACCCAGTTATGTTCGGTGTCGCAGTGAGGTACCGAAGTAGGACTTTTCAATAGGAAATTAGCACACAATTGTTTATTCTTTAATAAACCATATTTTTCTCAAGGTTTCATAATGACTAATTTGATCACTTAACACTATAAACAAAGATTTTATATTTAACATACTCATTGCAAAGATTAAGTATAAAAAATACAGGCTTAAAAATGGTTCAAAATGTAATAAAAATCACTTTTGTCTACATTTATTCAATAAGAAAATTGACATTGAATAAGCACCGCTCTTGTATTGTTGGTAATAATTGAAATGCTTTTTTTTTAGGATTGCGAGGTGCAATTGCATTTGCTTTGAGCCTTCACATGGAGTTTTCAGCAGAAAAACGTTATATCCTTGTCACAACTACTCTTATTATTGTTCTTTTCACAATTATGTGTCTCGGAGGAGCAACTATGCCTATGATGAAGGTATGATCTCTTTTCTTAAAAACTGATAATTTCTTTTTCTCTGATAAAACTTTTGTATTTATTGTTCTGGGTTCCAAAGAAAAAAAAATTCTTTCACTTCTAACATACACACTTTAAAATTCTATTAATATTATGTATTTTAAGTTATTCTGCAAACTCTGGGTTTCTTTTGCTTCTGTATTGTTTATTACTTTGTTAAATTGATGTTTTTCAAAGCATAGTTTAATATTTTTTGGTTACATTCAATCTAAAAATGATATTGAATAAGTACAACTATCATATTGATGGTAGTGATTGAAATTCTTCTTTTTAGATTTGCAAAGGTGAATTGTCTTTACTGAAAGTTTTCATATGATCTTAGTGGAACAAAAAAATCTTAGTTGTGTTAACCCATTAATTTCCACTGTAAAATCTGGTATTAATTATTGCTTGCTAAAAATCATCCAGACATTCTCCTTTGGCTGATTAGAAATACAAGCTAAAAATATTCTTGCTGTTCCCAAGTTTACCACATTTCCCAAGTCAGTTTTTTACTGTTTAGAAAATTTGTTGATTCATCATTTAGAACAGAGAGTCCTCCATTTCTTTAGGTGATAAAATATCTATTGATATTTTAAAATACTCTTAGATTTTTCTGCAAAGATGTCCAAACTAAACATACCTAAAGGCAATATAGATATGGACCCATAATCAGTCACCTGTCAGAATTGTTTTCCTTTCAAGGGTTTTTTGGTTATGTAGAGTCCAGTTGATTCCTAGCAATATTTTCTAGCCAGAAAATGGATAAAAGCTGTTATACTGGCCAATTTCTGTGTGTGTGTGTGTTTTTTTTGTTTTGTTTTTTTCTCAAAATGTCACATCTTATGTTTCAATTCTGGGTCTTTTTAGTTTTATCTTAATGTTATATTACAGTAAATATATTCATTCCTGGTCACCATTATTGGCACCCTTTCATTTTTTTGGTTATATCTTCAATGGAAATAAACCAAATTTATATCATCAGAATTTTTTAATTGGTTGTCCAAAGTAATTTAACCAAAATTAATATTTGTTTTCAACTTAAATATTGTAATTTCAAAGAGGAATGAGAAAAAAAATGATAAAGGCACCCCTCCTTAATATTTCATTGTACCCTCTTTGGCAGCAATGACTGCTTTCAAACGTTAACTATCTATAAGCTTCATGCACTTCTCAGCTGTTATTTTCTACTTTGTAAGTTTTTGAATGTTTGCAAGATATCTTTCCTCAATGACAGATTTCAGCTAAACACATAGATTTCCAATGGAATTTATGTGACGAAAGACATGATTTACCTCAGCATTTGAAACTAGCATGAACATGTCTTGCCTGCAAAGTCCAGTGTAATGGCTTAGAAAGGGAGTCAAGCAATTCATTTCCTTGAGGCAACGGAAGAAGAAAAAAAAAATAGCTGGCCTGCCAACGAGCGACGCACTGCACATTTTGACCTCCCTCATCATCACTCTTTTTTCTTTTTTTTTCCTCCTACAATTTAGATCCGGATCACTGCTGGCCAATTTAAAACTGTCCATTTCTTCCTTTTCGATCATCATCCTCTGTGCTTTCGGATGTGTGTCTTGGGTTATCTTACTGTAGAACCTATGTTTTTTAATTTAAATTTTGTTTTCTTACATTGGGTAGCATATTTTTCCTGATTCTTGTGATATGGTCAAGGCCCCCATTACCAGATGCAGCAAAGCAGTCTCACAACCTTATGGATTCTCCACCATACTTATAAGCTGCATTTGACCATCTGTAAACATATTGTTGGTGTGCATTGCCAAAAAAGCTCTATTTTTATTTCATATGTAAGATTGAGGTTTGTTTGGTACTATCTGGCAAAGTTCAGTCATTCCTTATTAGGTCTTTTCTTCAGTAACATGGTTTTCATCAATAAAGAACTACTTGTTTTAGTGTGCACCATTTACCCCAGATTATTCCAGATTTGTTTTCAGATCTTTAGATGTTTTACATGGTATTTTGTCCATAGTTTGCACCAACCTTCAAAGACTTCTACCTCAATTTTCCTCTTATTCTCATGTCCTGGGAGGTTCTTGACAGTTTTATGCTTAATAAACTTATTAATAACATTGCTCTCTGTTGAAATGAGTACACTGAGTTCCTTAGTATGTCTCATGTGAAGAAACCAGTGCCCTTGATATCCTGTTACCCCAAGGATGCCAGTGGTTTAAACATTCTTTCGTGGAGCAACAAATTTTTCTCCATACTCTTGTCCACCACAGACATTGTTCTTTTTCTCAAATTCCTAGTTCTTGGAGTTCCTTTGATGAGATGGGTGTAGAATTTCCCCTGCTCCAAGAACTTCACAAGGTTAATAATATATTTCAATGGAGACCTTGAGCAAGAGAGTGATTCACCAGCTGTTGTACCGTAGTTGTTGTCCTTTTGTGTTTACGTACTGTTATCATTGTTTTCACTTTTACCACTTTCCATATTTTGATTGTTGTTTTTCTGATGTCGAGTTATTTTGACTTTTGGTTGTTTCCATTTCCAAACACATTTTGTTTTTACTTGTAGGCATATCTTTCTCCAGGCATGTTTCTGAGTTAGGGTTATCTTTATCAGGTCTTACCTTAATGACTCTCCTTTGTTGACCATCTAGAAGGAAAAAAACTACTAAACAAATCCAGCTAAAAATAGTCTAGTGTAAAGTAATTTACGCAGACAGTAAAAATAAAATTCATTGCTAGAAAATTAAAGTAAAAGCTGGTGTAACATTACAGATATAAAAAAAAAAAAAGAACAAGGAATTCAACAAGAAAAAACTGTAAAAAGATTATAAATGAGACAAAAAACAGAAACAGGTATGCGTGAAAAATAAAACCCTGATAAAAACAAGTCTGGCCTAATGAAAAGGTTAGACAAGAAAAATTAAGAAATTAAAAAATTTTGACTCAAACCAACAAGAGTGGCAGGGGGAGAAGTTAAACTGAAAGAAAAAAGAAAATTTAAATAAATCTCAGGTAACAAAAACAGGTCAACCAAAAAATTTATCAAAATTTCTATAGAAAAATTCTTTATGTAATCCAAAACATATCTGACATGAAGTCAGACTAGTGGCTATGTAAAGGTCACTAAAAAGTTAAAAATCACTTTAACTTATCATTGTGACAAAGGAACAATGAATAACATGTTTTTATTTTGGGGGTCAGGGTTTAAACATTGAAGGAATCATTCATTAGCTAATTCTTGTCATGTGAGCATTGGCAGTTTATTAAGTATCATTTTAATTTCTGATTTGTCACATATGACTTAAAATGGTTTTTACCTTTTTTTTTTTTTTTTTTTTTTTTTCCATTTTCTCTTTTTAAAGGATGCCAATACCAGTGTTGTAGTAATCTTTCAGTTTTTATATTTCTTTTTCTTCCTATTGCTTTTTTAAAAACTTGTTTTATTATTATCCAACATTACTGAAATTTCATAGGTGCCAATAATTGTTACCAGGATAATGATTCTTTTTTTTTTTTTTTTTTAAACTTTAACATTTAGGTAGTTTGATGTACTCCAAATTATCCAGATCTCTTCTATTCTTATATAAGGTTAAGTATATTCTGACCAACAGTAGATTTTTACATACTTGTAAAATTTATACTAATGGTTGTGATTCATATAATTCTTGATAGTTTTATTGGTCTTTTGTGATTATTTTGGAAGTACGAGTAAGCCAAATAGAATATGCTTTTTTGTTTGCTTTTTCATTCATTTGTGTCTGTACATATTTAAATAAAATAGAGTTAATAATTTGAATGCTTTCTCCCCACTTTTATTGATGTGGATATAAATCACCCATATTTTTCATGTTTTCTTAGCTTTATAATTTAAAAAAAAAAATATCAGTCTTGTCCATGCACACCCACACACCAATATACACTTTGGACAATCCCATAAATATATTATCCTGCATAACATTAGGTGAACTTTCCTTGACCAGGTATTTGAGGTGACATACCAAACAGTTCAGTTTTAGATATTTTAGTAATCAAAATTTTGCTGCTCATAAGCTAGTTTACCATTGAATATATACTATATTAAAATTATCACTTATAAAATTGACAGGACAAAAATACTACTTCCAACTATATTGCTTGCAGTTAACATTAAAAAAGGTCAACTTCAAGATTATTATACATTTACACAAATTTTAAGAAGAATAAAGATAAATCATAATTACCTTTTGAAAAAAAAAATGATTAATATACTTGTGATATACAAATTAAAAAAACAAACTTGTAATGAATTTATTTTTTGATGAGTATTTTGTAATGTAAAAATAAATCATTCCGAAAAGATGAAATTTATGGATACATAATGAAAATGAATTTTTTTTTTTGGGAATATATGCTGAAAAATAGGAATATAAGTTTACTATTCATAATTATTACTTATGCTAATGTATGTATTTGATATATATATATATATATATATATATATATATATATAATTTTTTTTTTTTACAAGTGAAAAAAAATATTTTTATTCTCATTTTTCTTGCTCTTTGAAATTATTTAAACTTACAATAATTTGTCTTATTGAATTTGTTTAGTTTATAAATATAAGTAATTAGAACATAGTTTTGAATGAAAGGTTTGTAATAAAACAATGTTTTCTCGTTTTTGATAATTTTCTTTGATTTTTCGAAGGTATTAAATAGATTTAACAAACTGTCCATTTGTGTAATGTAAGTTCGAAATAAAATATTTTATATATTTTTGGTATAATTTACAATTAAGGTTGTATTATGGTAAAATAATCAATCCTTCATTCTCAAGCAAAACTGGTTTGAAATCATTATTGTTTCTATATCTTGTACTTAAGATGTTTGAAATATACATATTAATTTTAGATTTTTGTTTCAGCTTTTGAAAGCAGAAAAAAGGAAAAAGACACGATCTGAAATTTCCCTCAGTAAAACTAAGGAAATGGTGAGTTTTGCATTTTGGTGAATTTAATTTAAATTACATTTTAAGCAATTTAAATTATTTTTAATTATATTTCAGGGTGATACAGTTGACTCGGAACATCTTTCTGAATTGACTGAAGAAGAATATGAAATAAACTTTGTAAAACCACATTTGCGAGGTTTTTTGCGTATTGATGTCAAATATTTGATACCTTTCTTCACGCGACGTTTCACTCAACAGGTAAGTTCAAACATCCTTCAATACAAAATATGCATTTGTTTTATTACCAATTTTTCAAGTTTATTTCTAATTTCTATAAAGTTTTCATTATTATGTAAGCTTCTGTAGTGTTGTTTGAATGGCTTAGTAGTTTTTATGATAGATGACAAATTTGAGCTACGTACCTCCTTCATCAGGTTTTTGATCAACATTTTTAGGTTCTTGAGTGACTTGCATATTTCATGGCAAGTCATGTCAAGATGAGCGTTCAAAATAATCATAAGCAAAATAACAGAAAATATGAAAAAATTAAACTTATCCTTCAGTTCTCTCATAGGAATCGCAGTGTCCAGAAACATTTTCATACCAACAAATTAGTATGAGAATTGGTGCAAATGTGGGAATAAAAAAAAAAGGGAGACTATTTGTAATAAAGAAAATACTTCATCTCAGAACTTCAAAAATCTCTTTAACTATAATTAGGAGAGAAATTATTTTCTTTAGTTCTGTAGCTAAATATTAGGTTGGAAAAAAATTCCTGTTGTGTTTTAATTCAGATATAACTGACATGTTCAAACAAGGTAATAGTTTGATTTGTTTTCAAAAATACATGTTTTATGCTTTGAGCATAAAATTATTTGGGTTTCAAAACAAGCAATGTCTTTTTTAGCATCTTCAGAATTTCCCATGCTGGAAATATAAAGATCTGAAAAAGTGATAATTTGTTGGAGTGAGGTCAAGGCTGATGGAAATCTATATTCAAAACAAAAATCTTTTTCAGTGTTTTACAACATGGTCTTGCATTCTTATACAAAAATAACACATCTTTAAGATTGATTTCACTAATTAATCTCAATTTTTCAAAAAATTGTTTTTATCTTTCAATACTTCATGATAAATGACATTATTTATATGAAACAAAACGTACACCTTTATCTTATCAGAGTGCAATCCTCAATTTGGTGTAGGTGTATGGGTGGTTGGTGTAAAGGATAGTGGCTTGAAATGAGAAATTGGAGAGCTGAGTTTAAATTCCAGTTAAGTTTGTTACATTCACTTACATGTTCTTGGGAAAAGGTATGTATCTATCTCCTCCCTCCATCTATGGGTTAAATAGTAGGACTTATCTGGAAAGATTATTGTTATTCATAAAAAATTGTTAATGCAATATTCACTTGCAAAAAAACCAACTTTGGTTATAATAGTTGTATGCAGGATTTGTACAGGTCCTGGAAACCTTGAAAAGTCCTAGAAAACTGGCATGCTTTTCCAGGGCTTAAAAAGTACTGGAATTTTCTAAATTGGGCTGCCCACACATCTTTTTTTCTCAATTCATGGAAGTCAAAATGGCAAATCCCAGAAATCTGTTTTTTTTACAAGCTAAAATTGTCCTTTAAGAAAGTTTTGTTTTAATATTTGGCAATTATTGTGAATGGTGGTTTGTTTCCTTGATTAGAATTAATTTATGACCTTGTAGTGTTTTCTCTTAGAAGAAATGTAGTGTTTTCTCAACAAGAAATGAGGAAAAGCAAAGATAAAAGGAGTCAGAGGCAAGTAAACATCTCCTTCACAGATAAATTAATTCATACTCATTGAATTTGTAGTTGAACGGAAAATGATAAATTATTTTACAATTATAAAATATAGTAGAATCTTGAAAAATTTATCAGTGTATTTTAAAAGTTGAACAATTGAAGATGTTATTCACATGTCAATTTCAAAGCTAGAAAGTCCTTTTGATCTCTAGTCAGTGGTGGGTGAGTTTATGCTGAAAAAATAGATACTTTACACATCCCTTGTCAATGTATATCTATATGTATCTATGTGTAAACTGTTTAAATTTTTGCCAAAAGTAACAAGTTTAAGAATCAAATTTGACTCAAAGAAAATGTAGGAAGGTTGATTGGATAGAAAATGTGCTGTTGATGTATGTTTGAGTATTAATCAAGAAAGGAAAAAAAATACGTCAATCAGAAAAAAAAAAAAAAATTGTGGGCCAGTAATAAGTTCCATTGCAAATCTACGTTCAAAAACTCTAAAAGGCAAAGTGGCCATAAACAGTCCAGCAGACAAATTAGTACCAAAAATGGTGTCAAAAATCCAATCTTCCACTCACAACAGAGGAAATGCACTTTTGCTTACCAAGCTCAAAAATCATTCTCCCCTCAGTAATCAAAAAGCAAGGGCCCTTATTCAAAAAGTGATTTTTCTGATTGGCCATGCTAGTCAGGGAGGAAAGAACATTACCATAGTTCTTTTGATACTTAAAATAGGAGGTTTTTGCTAACAATTGTCTTTATTTTTCCTTCGGCAGACCACGAAAAACACAAACTCTTTTTTGAGGTAGGTGATTTCCTCTTTCGTTACACTCCCCACTGTCACATAGGTGACACTGGGGGGTGGGCCTCTTTAATCTTTAGCTTCTCCAGTGTGGGATGATTACTGGTGGGGATTGAATGGTATGTTCAGAAGACTCGTCTTCAGAGGAGTTTTCTGGTTTAACAGACTCCTGCACAGTCTTTACCATCTGAAGAGGTAATGACCCTACCTACAATGGTGATTATCCTACACTTCCTGAGGACTCACTGCTAGTGTCACTTGCTGAAGTATCTGAACCTACACAAGGATGCAAGTCTTGGCATTCTATCAACCAGCATAGTACATGATCTGCTGATTTCAGTGATATACCACACCCCGTACTAAGGTGTACAAAGGCTGTGTAGAGCTTTTACCCACACGCTGTCACCCAGGTTGTATGTCGTTTGTTCTTTTACTTGTTCAGTTGAGTACATCGCGTCAATACTTCTGAGCCGGACTTTGTACCAGTAAATCATGTTGGCTGGCACAGTTGAGGGTGACACATCATCTTTAGGGGTAATGTTGTGCTAATGTACTGCTTCCATTATAGAACAATGCTTTCTGGCAGCAATTCTCTTGACGATGCGATGACATCACTTGATTATGCCATTTCTTGATGGGACATATGCACAGCGAAATTGGAGGTGGACTCTTCATGAACCAAAAAATTCCTTGAAGATTCCATTGCAGAATGCAGTGTTGTTGTCAGTGAGGAGTTCTGTTGGAGTTTCACGTTCAAAGAATAATGCTCTCAAGTGGTTAATCATGCTTGTGGAATCCTGTTGATGCTAGCTTCACCAAATAGTGAACCGGGTGAGACCACAGTCAATCAGAGTTAGATAGTGGTTTCGATTGTGGTGCCCATTTCAACACAGTGTCACACTTTCAGTTGTCCTTTTGTCTGTTGCACAGGTGGTAGTTTGATGGACTGGCATTCCTTGCATTCTCTGACCACTGCTCTGATGGCAGCTTTGGATACGGAAGGATCAATCTACCTCATGAAATACAGTGTTCGTTTTATACCAGGATGTTCCCTTTGACAATGCACAGATTTTCGTAGATCTAAGTTATGGTCATTTGCTGATGTTGCACACATGTCCCATTGGTTCTGCCTCTTTCTTAATAGTGTCAAGCCATTTCTGGGACACACTTGTTAACCTATCCACCTTATTCCAGTTCAATCTGATCAGTTGTATATCCACTGATAAGTTGTATTCACTTACCAACTTTCCTAGTGTGTCTAGCCACCTTTTGAATGAGCATTTCGATTGCAGCTTTTGTATGTATCCTGGCCTTCCCTGTAAGAGTGTCTGATATCCATTTATGCAGAATCTGTAAACAAATGCAATGCTGTTGCGTTCCATTGAAGGTCTATGGTTACCCCTTTAATGACGGCGTTTAATTCTGATTGGTTGATATGTTGCATATCCTTCTTTGGATGCAACCAACATGCATCTTCCACAACAGTTTCATTGAGTTCAAGGGACACTTAGAAGCAATATAGCCTAATTTCTGGCATTGAAAACATTGTAGATTGGGATGTGACTTTTGTGCTGAACTGTTGTGCATCTCCTTGCATTGGTAGCAGTAGTCATTGGCAAAATGATCTGGCCCAGAGCACTGATACCAGGTGACATCGCCATGACTAGGGATGGCTGAGGTTGGATCTTTCACTTCAATTGAATGGCAACTGGCTCCTCAGCCTCCTTTTCGTCGATCATGATAGTGTGTGCTCTGGTCAGTAACTGGTTGAGCGTCAGGTCCTCCATTCTGGACGATGCTTGGAGTATCTGCTTAACATGACTAAGCAATCCAGGTGCAAACGTACAGGTCATCCATTGTTCAGGTAGTGACATGATTGGTATGGCAAGCTTCTTTATTTCTGCCAAAAATACATCTACTCTCTTACCTGGACAATGGCACCATGTCTGGAATTGGTCATAGGCTACAAACAGGTTGGTTCCAAATGCGGTTAGCAAAGCACGCTTAATTTGCTCACTGTCAGCTTTTTGTTCTTTGTTCAGCTGCCTATACACAGCAAGGGTCTTGCCTTTCAAATGCAGTGGAAGAATTTGTTTGATCTTGATGATCTTGCATAACTCACAGACCAGTTCCGCATCCTCGATCCACTCAACCACAGGTTGTTATCACCAGTGAATTATGGGATCAGTTTTATGTTGAACGGTCTTTCTGCCATCTTGCTAGAGACAAAGTAATGTCAAAATAGCTTGTTTGAGGGGTCAGTAAAATAAAAATTTGTGGGCCAACATAAGTTCAATTGCCAATCCGTGTTCAAAATATCCAAAAGGCCGTAAGTGGTTGTAAACCGTCCAGCAGGCAAATTAGTACCAAAAAGTGGTGTCAAAAATCCGGCCTTTCACTCACAACAAAGAAAACACACTTTTGCTCACCAAGCTTAAAAATTTATTTTGTAATTATACAAAATTCTAGCACAATGCTGAAGGAGGGGGAAAAGGGAGAGGTTGGTCTTCATTAGCGATCCTAGTCAATCCAACTCATAACATTCTTTACAATTTTCTCATTCATCACACTTATCCATCATCTCTTAATCCTGCATATACCACAATAGTGCATATTCACAGGGGACCTGCAAAACACCCCATGTCTTTTTTTTTTTTTTTTTTTTTTTTTTTTTTTTTTTT